CCCCAAACAAACACTAAATTTTGCTTCTATATTCATCTTTCTGGAGGATCTTTAATTGTTCTGAAGCTACACACTCAACACTCAGATAACTGTAAAGTATTGGGGCTTCTTACTTTCATCTAATGAAAAATTTGCTTGTGAAGGTTCGATTGTCATAAAGTTTTAGCTCTGATGTCTTGAAGATTCATTTATGCTATACGGTTATTCCTACTATTTTAATTGGCTTTCTCTTCTCCTCCGTTGTCTTTTCTCTAGATATTACAACTTCAGTGATGATTGTCCATCTTGGACCTTTAATTTTGCTTATACCCACATTAGGTAGTTTTCCTTTTCCTCTTTCCTTCTGATTATGATTTTTCATGCAGCTTGCATAGTGCAACGGAGTGGTTGGACTAGGGAAATTGATGTATTCTTTCAGTGGCTTTCAGCTATACCCTTTTCAGGTGTTGGTTTGGATGATGCTGCCATCTCAGAAGGACTTGCTGAAGCTCTAATGGTGTGTGGTGATGCCCATCTCCTTGTAAACTTGTCTATTTGATTCTTCCTTATGGTTAAATAGTACTATTTGAATTTCTTGTTCCATTCATTATGCATGTGACAAAGTTTCTATGCCTTTCCTATTTTCTTTTCAATTATTTTGAACCACCTTTTTCTCCCACTTAATATATTGTGCCGTCAGTTATATAGGATATCAGAACTACTGAAATAAGCTTGGGGACCAAAATCTTTCTCAATAATCTAGAAAGGCCAGTATTAAAGAGTAGGAGTACTTTGATAGTTGAACCCTTTTTGGTCTTCTTGTTGGTCCGCACCTTTTTTATCCATTGCCTTTTATAATGAAACATTTGGTGAGACACCTTAAAGTAAAATAATTTTTGTTTCAGTTTGGAGTTAGTTAAGAGTCCATTTTATATATTCTATTATCCAGCGTGCAAATTTGTATTCTAGGGTGACAAGTGACAACATTTACTTTATAAAAACCTTCCACTTTTAGGTATTTGTTACCATGTCTCCATTTCATAGATTCCTGATAGACTGCCTAAGTGCAAAAATGCTTTAAAAAACATGCCCTATCCTTCATCACTTCAGTAATGTGAACTTAAAATTCTTGAGAACCTCCTCCTTTTTTTCAGATCAATGAAAAGATGTGATGATATTGGTGCCTCATCAAATCAAGAAAAAAGTTGTAATTATTTCTTTTAATGTACATATTACTTGTATACTTGTGCATTTTGTTTACACGATATTTCCTTGTTTGAAAATATTTTGGTGCATCGTTCAGATGTTCTCTGCCACACATGGAAATCAAACTCAAAATGTAGATGGGCTAAGACAGTGCATTCTTGTTGCTGCAAGTAACCCTTATCCATTGCCAACGTCAGTTTATCAACCAAAACTGCAAAACCTAGACCAAAGCAATAGCATTGTGGCACAAACAGAGAGTCATCTATCTGATGCAGAGACATTAGCAAAATCATTTGCTCAGGTACTGAAAATCCTTCTGCCATTGCTTACCTTCTTGGATGTTTATTTTACTGAGTTCAAAAACATCTACTTCTTGCAGTGTGCAATTTCTCTTTCAGTCATATGTCCGAAACAGCTTCCAAAAATTAGAGCAATCTATAATGCGGTAATAAATCTCAACTTTTGTGCTCTTTTTTGTTGATGGCTAACGGGTTGTAAACGTATCAAGGCACTGCTAGTATTTAGTATTTGCTTCTGCTTATCGTTTTGTATAAATTACTATCTTGATCTTTTCCTTAATCTATTTGTCACTTCATGCTTTCTTTTTATGTTCCATGAGAACTACTTTTTAGCTATTATTTCATTTCCCTGGCAAATAGATCATCAATTTGATAGAAAAATGTCAGGAATTATTATGGATGCATTTCTTATCATTCTATTTGTTTTTGTGGGGGTTGTTAATGTCCTGTAAAATAGCACCATCTTTAAAGCCCTTCTGTTAATAAATAGCATATTTAGCTCCCATTTGTTTTAGCTGAAAATTAAAGTTTTTTAGTAGATTGTGATAGAAGTGATGAAATTTGTGATTGAAAAGTTGATAAAAGTTGTGGATTCCACAAAATATGTTGTTAAAAATGAATTTGAGGAAAAATAAAAATGGGGGCCAGCAGGGGCTTAATCATCATCTTCCTAGACATTGGTGTCACCCCATCTAGGATACTTTTCGAAAGACAACCATCCTTTTTATTATTCAAAATAAAACTTTTAACATAAGAGCCCGTACTGCTCCTCCAACTGTCAATTGGTGTATTTTTTGTTTGACGTGTTTTCTGTTCAGCAGGACAACCCAGTTGCAGTAACTTTGTTCTACTTTTATAATTTATTGTAGAGTATTGAACTTGCGCTGTACCCTACTCTATAGTTGTAGCAATCAGGTGAGGATATATACTACGCAAGAAAGGTAAAGTTCAATCGAGAAAAAAATCATAAATTGAAGGGTGAAATGATGCTTACCATACAGAAATAGATTCATGTTAGTCTTTTCACTTCTATCAGTCAAATAGTTTACATTCACAGTGGGGTTGCTGGCTGATTGATATGTGCTAGATGAAATGGTGGAAGCAATTATGTGGCATGCGCAATAAAAACCAAAAATGCTCTTGAAACAATATTTGAAATGGCTGTGGGTAGTTCTACAACTCAAAAAGCTGTTATTGAGAGTGATGAATTATGTACTTCTTAGTTTCTTGTTTCTTGTTTATGTTTGAGTCATTTACTGAAGATGAAGGGAGGACGAAGGAAGTGAGAACAGCTGTGCTCTTTGATCTTTGTAAGAGCAAAACAAATGGTTGTCTGATCATTAAAAGTAATAAATGTGGATGATTGTCCTAATATCTATTTTGCATAATAAGACAACAAGACTGTCCTTTTGGAGTTCAAAATTTAGTTCTGGCATTTTTGTATTGTTATATATGTTCTATTGTACCTTTTGACAGGAATTTTTCTACGAATGATTTGTATTACTCTGTAAGAAAAACAAAATAACTTGAGAAGGCTCCACCATCTAGAGACAGCATAAAATACTTAAAAGCAGTGGGAGTGGGTGATAGGGGTGGTGAATTGGCCTATTTTAACTACAGATTCTTTGATCTCTAGGTAGAGTGGATGATGGGCACATCTATATTGATCGTTACACTCTTGCGGACAGGGCTTTTCTTTATACCTCTCACCTTTAAATTGTGCACCTTATTTAATTTTTTGACACGTCCTAAAGTAATATCCAGAATTCTAAAATATTCTATACTTATTATTTTACAAGCATCCTTTTTTATTACCACCCTTATACTTTTACTTGTACATGGCTAGAAAACTCCTGCCTCAACATTTTCGCTTTATGACAGATCTGTGGGGACAAAATCCAAAACAATGTTCTCTTTTCAATTCCTATCCAAATAATCATGCCACTCGATAGGGACTAAGAGCATCCTTAAAATTAGGTGCATGGCTCTGTGCATTTGAGTTAGCTTTCTGTGACCATATAGTAATTGTCAATTTTATCAATTATTTTATCTTACTGCATGAGCTTCCTGTTATCCTTTCAGACATGTTAGCTGAGGGGAATACTCATACAATGATAGACAAGGACAATAAGTCATTAATGTATTAGCTTTAAGGTGGCAACAATCACATTAGAATCAAATTAAAGAATACATGACTGAATTCTTATTATCATTGTAGGAGCTCTTAAAGTGCCTTCTTGTTCTCATGTAAAGATAGTGGGTCCTTTCACATTTTTTCTTTGTCTTCTCCTGATCTGTCTCTTGATAGATTAGTCTTCTGTTTCAGCTAGCGCCAACAAGCTCAGAGTTTATGGCAAAAGGAAAATATGCTATATCTATCTCTCAATTACCTAATTTGTGCTTGAGTTCCTTTTTCTTCCGTCGATGGATCATGACCCTTTGTCCCAGCCAGTAGCACCTATTGCCCAGGGCATAAGGAGAGCACATAATGACTTCATGTCCTTGACTGAACATTTTGTTCTTCCCATGGAAAAGAATGTAAATTTCTTGCTTTACCAGAAAAAGATTTGATTTGATTCAATTTCTATTACGGAGACAATTTTTTCTGAGAAATTTCAATTGTATTCTATAATTTGGAATAAAAAATCATTTTTGACACCTTCCACGTACTCTGATTGTAAAGCAAGGACAGACCTTGGTTATGATGACAATTGAAAGATATTCTGTCTTTTCCTTCAATATGCTGTTGTGAATGCTAATATTTGGTCATTGTGTTGATTAAGGGAAAACGAAATCCACGAGCTGCAGATCTGCCTGTAGACACTACTAAGAATCCCCATTTTCTTGTTCTAATCTCCGAGAACTTTATAGAGGCTTGTGCTGCTTTAAGTCTCTCTGGAGTGACAAATTTGGCATCAAATCAGAGCCCTGTGAAAATGCATGTGACTTCTGTTCCTCCCAATTCTGGGGCGGCTTCTGTTCCTTCCATTTCTGGGCCAACTTCAACTTCTATTGCAGCAGGTAACTTTGCATGTTGAAAGTTTAATTTCTGTTCCTCTTTCATCCTCTACCTTTATCAGTATTTGCACTTATTAGCATTTGCATGTCTCAACAACCAGGAATGCAGCCTGTTGGTGTGAATAACAATAATTCAGCAGCAAACATGCCCCTGAATGAACAGACGTCAAGTACAGTGAATTTTGCACAATCAAAATACGTTAAAGTCTGGGAGGTAATTAACATACTTGCACAAAAAATAAATGCAGTTGGACTATTGCCTGAAGTTTCTTAAGGAAGATATACATAAAAATTGTTTTAATGGTTTGCCAGGGTAATTTTAATCACTTTGAGAGTTATTTATAATTTTCACTACTGACTAATATGAGAAGATTATAAAAGTAGCCGTTTGTGGTGTTTTCACACTCAGTGTCCATACACTGGGTTAAGATACTTTCGGCATTGCAGTCCCCATTGTATTTTGGAGACTTATCATAGGTGGTGTTATTCTTTCCTTTTGGCCAAAATATCAGGGGAAAGTATCAAAGTGGATGATTAAATAATGCTATCATCAGGGTATGCAGATGTTTTTGGATGAGAGTTTTCTGTTGGATTTTATGGGGCTTAACTCCGTCTATAATGATTAATATTGGATTAGACTCAAAGAAAGGTATATGCGTTTATCTTTTGGGATTAGGAGGCATTTTTCTGGACCTTTAAAGTAACATGACAGGAAAATATGCAGACAATTCATCTAAACTAGAGTATCAGGTATTGGGGTACAATTTAATGCTGTATGTACCTCGTGTTATTCCATAACCTGTTGTGATTGTTGTTTGCTAGTGGACCATGGAAAAGAAATGCTCAACAATTTAAATTTCTTCTTTTTTCAGCAACTCTCACCAAGTTGGAGGTCAATGAATAAAAGCTTTAGGAATATTCTAATGATAGTGCAGCAGTTAATCACGGTGAGGAGAGTAGTAGGGAGTAACTAGATGTTACTCATCATGTTGAAGATGGAATGAGAAGTGAAAGGGTTTCGAGTATCACATCACAATTGAAGTTTTTGGGTGGGGGAAAGAATATGCAAGGAAAAATTATAATCCACTGACAGCTACCATGATTTATGCATCAAAGCAATAAAGTAGTAGAAGCAAATGCTCATAAAAGGAGGTATCCATTCTTAAAATAGATGTATGCTCTGCCTAGCCACATTGGTATAAAACTGGATGTCTTGAAATGGTGAAGAAGTCATGGCTGAATGTAAAACTAGGTTAAAAGTGCAAATGCTTTGACCTTGCAATGTGGAGGTTAAGCTTGTGTTTCACCTTGATTTGCTCATTATTGAGATAAAAAAAAAAAATTTATTGGGTCTATAGTAGAATTGAAGCTCTGGTCTTACTTCACACTTTGAATGTTATGCTTTCATTGTTGTGCTACTATAGTTGTCATATAATGTTGGAAAAGATTTTCTCCAATTAGCCCATTTCTTATTTCTCGTCCATACTCATATTGCTGACATTGCCAAAATATAATGAAAATGACACCAATTTCTATTACGAAGGAGACTTTCCATAATTTCTGAAGCTGTTAAAAGAAAATCTTGTTGAATAGTATGTAATCTCCATGAATTGGTAAATGATTTAGGAAGAGATAACTCGAGGACAAATTAAATGAAAAATATCTCTAATAAAGTGTTCTTCTTTGTGCTGTTAAATATTATGCAAGTTACCCAGATATCGTTGATTTAATTACTTAGCTAAGCATTCTCAAAACCTTTTTTATAATGAAATGGTCTAGGGTATCTTATCTGGGCAGCGACAAAGCCAGCATGTGTTCATCACGAGACTGGAGGTATGTTACACGTCTAAGAAGGGATTTTCATGCTATACATAATCTTGTTTTCATTTCTAAATCGGGTAATTTGATTGGACATTCTGTCTTTAATAAGGCACTCCTTAACTTTCTCATACATTGTGACATATCATTCATGCTACTGTCTGGTTACATCTTGGTGTGAAAATTCACACATTACTTCTACTCACATATTCTGCTTAATTGTTCCAGGGGTATAGGAGCGCATCGGCTTCTGAGACGTAAGTCTACATATTCTTTGATGCTTTTCTCTCATTTTTCCACCTTGTTCCATTATTCCTCTCAGTTGTGCTGCTAGTGCAAGTTTGGTAGATTATACAAATTTATACTAATGAGAAAAATGGATTTTGTGCCGATCTTTCAAAGGCGCTAACTACTAGTTTTCCTGTGAGGAGGTTATAGCTTCCATAATGTGCTTTGTAGAGACTTGGATTTCACTGTAGTATGTCTTCAGGATCAAAATGAATAGAGAAAATAACCATAAGCTTCAGCTTGCCTCTTTCATTCTAGTGAAATCCTTTTAATTCTTTAAACATGCTCCAAAATATCTTGAGGTTATGGCCAAAGCAGATAAATATTATTGTTAGAGAGTATATTTCACGTTGTTAAATATCTTTTTTCCATTTAACACCAATAGGTTTTGCGATTCAACATGATTCATGACTGGAAATGGAAGGCCTACTATCAAGTCCATGTGTGACCGACCTTTATTTTTTACTTGCATCAAGACGGGTAACAGATAAAAAGTCCATCCTTTTAAGTGACAAATTTCTCATGAAAGAACTATAGTTAAGGAAAGGACTATAGATTTATTAGTCAACTTTCCCTATTTGATACCTTCTCATTTAGCCTCTCTTCTTTTCTGCTTCCTTCTCATGCATATAATGACATCTAAAAGGGTACCCCTCATCCAATTGAGTTATATTGCAAAAGAAAGTATTTATGATAAAAGTGAGGAAAATTTTTAAGAACAAATGAATAGCTACTTCGGCAGCAAAAGAATGATGACCAATTATTTGAATATTCCGGATCCATTGATTGCACAATTCTTTGCATATAATCCTGAATCACATTTGAAACAATCCTCTTCTTTTATCATTCTCGTACCAAATGTCAATGAGATTGAGATTATGAAGATTTCGATAATCACAAAAATTACAGCTTACACACATACACACACATATATGGTGCAAATTGCAAAGTATCCCTAATGGGAAGATCATTCAGTCAAACTTTTTCATGGTATTAGAACCATACCTATAGAATCAATCATTGAATCTTCAACTTTCGTTCAATTTCTCTACCTTTGGTGACTTATCAAAAATAAAAATAAAATTTTTTTTACCTTCGGTGTCGACAACTTTCGTTCAGCAGTTTTCTTGCTTCTTGGTAGCTCCTTGCAAAATTCTAGGTCGATTTGTGTGTGATTCAATTCTTGATGGTCGAAGTCATATTAATTTAAGACTTTTCGACACATCTGTGGATGATTGACACGATTTTTGGCGTCCGTGTGTGATTGATGCGATTCTCAGCGTCCCTTGGGTGATCGATGCGATTTTTTGGTGTTCCTCTATGTGTGATCAATGTGATTCCATCGTCCTCACGAGTGGGCTCGACGTGATTCCCAGCGTCTCTAAGGTGATTGACTTGAATTTTTGTAGGTTCGCGTCCTTGTGGATGTTTGAAGCTTCGGTGGGTTTTGTGATCTAGGCCTAACATGTAGGAAATTTGTTATTTGAGGAATATTGTTTGGGGTGGGCCTAAATTTTTTGTGGGTTGATTTTAGGTGACAATTTATTTGGGGTTGCAATCTGGTTACTTTTGTAGGTCGAATTCGTTTGGGCTATAATTTTTTATTTCCTTATATTAGGAAGTTACGTTGATTAACAGCTTTTATGTTAAGTTCACAACGAAGAATTATTCTATATGGAAATTTCAATTCAAGATGTTCTTAAAGGGAAAGGAGCTTTGTGGTCACATTAATTGTTCCTCTAAAGCACCTGAAGATGCTAAGGATCTCAGTGTATGGGAAACGAAGGATGCTCGTATTATCTCTTGGATTTTGGGGTCTAAAGAGGCCCACATGTTGAATTAGCGCTCTTTCACTATTGCTAAGAAGATGTGGGAATACTTGAAACGAATTTATAATCAAGACAATAATGGACGACGATTTCGGTTGGAGTTAGAGATTGCTAACTACGTTCAGGGTATTCATAATTTCGTTGCGAAGGATACGACCATATTGCTCGTAGCTTTCATAAAAAAGTTTGCAATTATTATGAACAACCAAGGCATATCATTAAGGACTATCCCATGCGACCTAAATATCAGGAAGCTAAAGCTTTTGAAGTTGCCGTTCAAGGTACTTCTCCAGTACTGTCACAGGCTAGCACCAATTAACCTGTTCTTACCCCAGAAATAGTTCAGCAGATGATTCTTTTTGCATTCTCCTCCTCAAGCTTACACAACAAAGATCAAGTTGTTTCTTCTTCTTGGTATGTCGATTCAAGGGCATCAAATATTATGAATGGCAATTCCAAATCCTTGCATAACATTTAGCACTCTATTGGTCCACAACACATTCAGATTACTAATGGGAGTTCTCTTTCAATTACTGCTATTGGTGATATTTGGTCTTTAAATATTGTTTTTGTATTCCCGAGCTAATATACTAACTTGATTTTAGTTGGTCAATTAGTTAATAATTACTTTGATGTGTGTTTCTCTTGTGCTGGTTGTCTTGTATAGGATTAGGGATCGGGGAAAATGATTGCAAAGGGCCTAAAGTCAGAAGGTTCCCACTACAGTTTACTATTCCAACTGCTATGTCTTTGGCTGGTATTAGTGATGGATTTAAACATGAAATTTGGCATAAACAATTGGGTCATCCCAATATGTTAATTTTATCTCATTTGTTGAAATATGGTTTTTTGGATAATAAAGACTAGTCTCAGTTTTCCAATGTCTTTCAATTGTAGTACTTCTAAACTTGGAAAAAGTAACTTCCACTTTCCAACTCATGGCAGTCATGTTGATAAGTTGACGAGGACTCACTTGTTTGGACCATTTACTTGTGTTTTTTAGTTATTGGGCTTGTATTATTGGGTTGGCCCAAGCCCATCACTAATAGGGTTATGTTTTACTATTTATATGGTTGTCAATTGTAATTGAAAAAACAATGAATTGATGAAGTGAATTGCTTGGCTTGTGGCCTAAGGTTTCCCTCTTCTCCCCTTCTCCTTCCCTGTTTCTTCTCTGGTCTTCTTTCACCATTCTCTCCAGTTCTCCCCTCTTTCTTCGTGCCTATTTCTTCGTATGTTGCTGTTGATTATCTGCTGGTTATAATTTAATTGTTGAAATCCCAATTGATCCTATACTAAAGTGGTATCAGAGCAAAACTTGGGGATTTATCACTGCATTAGAATAGTTGCGACTACCTAGCAATATCCACTATGTCAACAGATCATAGCCAATCTTTCATTGAAGTTCAGTAAATCCAATGCTTCATCTACTACAATAGACATATATTCAGTCCATCATCCAATCCCCTACAACTCACCACCACACAACCCCACCTTCACCATCAATAACAGCCAATATGCAACTTTTTGTTATATCTCAAGTTCCATCCGCTGCCAAATCACAAACCCAGCACCGATTTCTTCAAACCCCAAGATAGTAACTGCCAGCAACTTCACCGTAATGTACACTTTCCACTTAACCACCAAACCCCACAAACAATAACCGCCCACACCGCAATACCCACCAACTTCCAACCACCACAACTTACGGTTCCGCTCTTCCACATTCAATTGCAGTCAACCAAAAATAAAATAAAATCCAACCAAGCCCAATTAAAACACATCTCGCGCTACTACTCAAACCCGATTCAACCGTCAGACAGTTCCACTCCCGCATGTAGTCGTTCCCTCAACGTCAACCATAGTCAATGCTAGCCAATCTCTCTGCCGCCGCCAGCTTCTCATCTCCAGCGATCCACAATTTTTACTAAATCACATGAATAGGGCTGGACAATTTTGGCTATTGAATACAGTGGGTGTTTGATTGTTAATTTGGGCTTTTCAAATTGGGCTATACCTTAGTATTTTTGGTTTTGCATTGTAAGCGTGAGTTTTTGATTTTCAGTTTGGATTCGCCTTAGTATTTTGGGCCTAGTAAAAGTGTAATAGATTAGTTTTAAAAAAAGAAAAAAGAAAAGAAACAGAATTAGGGAAAAAAAGTGGAAAAAAAAGAAAGAAAAGAAAGAGAAAAAGTATTTTCTATTATTTGCAGGTACCTCTTTTTTATTCTTGTTGCTACTTCAACAAACGAAAGAGAAGTTATTGTTTTTATTTATTTTTGGTTTATATTACTGTTTCGTTTTAAAATTGCGTCAATATTTTGTGTGCTGCTGTTATTTCAGTTTTTACCTAAACTAACGTAATTGGATTCATTAACTTCGTTAAATTCCACTTTTACCTCACTTATTTTACATGATTAGGTCTTGACTAGTATTTGATCATTGCTTTGCTATTTTACATATACCAGCAGTATTAGCTTGCCGTATTTGGATTTATTTAATTCCAAATTTTAAAATTTTTAAAAAAAGGGAGCTCAAGTTGTTATTTTTCATTGCTTGCACTTATTGTTCATTGATCTCACCATTGCACGTCATTTAGCTTCTAACACAGAGCATGCATGGTGGTCGACTGGTCGTCTTGTCACTCCTAGTTTCAGTACATAAACATGGACCCTTCACAATTTGATGTACTTACTCAACAAATAGTGGCTATCCAATCTCAGATGACCGCTACTCTTGAACAGAGTAATGCTCACTCTGCTAGTCTGGACAATTTTAAGCAAATCACTCATTCGACTGATATTAATAATTTTGAAGTGTCCCACAATATACGATATCGTGTCGACAAGGTAATCAAAAATATTTTCAACATGATCATAGAAATAAGGATCAGGTTCGTGAGCGAGAACGAGGCCATGGTCGTCATGGTACTCATTCTCTTCCTCGTCATAAGGAGCATTTCTTTAGAGACATTAAATTAGATACTCCTATTTTCGATGGTTGTTTAGACCATGAAATTTTTACCCAATGGAATACCCTTACACAGGGGAATGGGCTAGTAACTGAGTACATTGCTCAATTTGAGGAATTTTGAATGAAATGTCATGTCGATGAGGATGAGACCCTGACTTTGAGTTGGTT